TATATATATATATATATATATATATATATATATATATATATATATATATATATATATATATATGTTGAGCTACAAAAAGAATTGGGGGCCAAGAGGGATTTTCCATCAACATCTTCCACTAAATACTAATTATGCTACTCTATACCCTAGTTCCAAGATGGACCAGGTAACCCAATTTCTTGATCAGCTACAAGTTACAACACATACCACAACAAGTGGTGTGGACCCCATCTGTGCCAGCTGGCAAGTTCACACAGTAAAAGTGTGCAAAAAAGTGCATGCTAACATGTCAATGGCCAATGGCCAATGGCAAAGGATTATGCCTTAGCAAAAAAATATATATGTTCAGATATGGGGGCAACTAGTGTGAAGAGGGACCATTGCATCAACTTGGAAGAGTGTGGGGGTATTTCTGCAGTCTTTGTCATTCATTTATAGGTTTCACATTTCCCTATGAAAAAAAAATTAAATTGCACACAAATCCTTAGGGTTCTTCAAACCTAAACAAGCTGCAATTAACCAAATTGATCAAGAAACGAGCCCAAACTTAATTATCTATAAATAGTACTTCTAATTTAAGATTAGATTATAATAGAGGAAGAATAAAAAAGAAGGACGAGTTGTATCGAATTTTCATCACCATTCATCGTATGTGTCCGAAAATGATACACATAAAGGACAAAAAGTTTGCATACATCAGAGGTGGTTGGTTATTCAGTCCTAGTCCTAGGATTTGAAGGCCATTTGAAGGTTTACATCGGTCGGGTAATAATATCCAATCGCAAGGATGTGTTTATATATGATACGTCGGTCTAGTACACACACTCACATGTTTATGTATGTGATTGTGTGTACACATGTTTACGTCGGTCGGGTTATACTATCCCATTTGAAGGTTACATCGGTCGTGTACACACACCCACATGTTTATATGTGTGAATCTACGGCGAAATTCACCAGATAGGCTTCACCTTGTTTTTTGACTAAAAGAGATATTTTCTTTTATGGTTGTCAAAATGGGAAAGGGTGGAAGAAAAGAAAAGTGAAAAAAAGCGAACTTTTGTTCTTTATTGAACAAAGTCTCGATAATCCATCACTATTTCGTTGACTATTTGAAGTCTATTAAAATGATTTTATACAGGACAATTGGTACCCAAAGGAAATTCAATTTCTATGAAGTAATAATATTTTCGCATTTTCATCAAAATAATACTGCAAACACAAACATTATGGCCCCTTTTGGTTGGATGGATGGGGTGGGATGGGATTAGGGCTTCATACTGAAATTACACTGTATTGATTAGTAAAATATGGATGGTATCTCGGGTTTGGTTGGTTGGATACAGATATATGGGATTGAATCCGAATAAGCCAAATTCAAGAATGGTTGGGAGGATTGGATGGGATAATTTGGCTAATTACATTATCACCCCTTGTAAGGCTTTTTTATTATTATTTTATACACCTGTCAATTTTAAAATTATTGCTTGTTGCACCCATTCTTTCCTTCCATTTTCCTGTAATTATAAAATCAGCACTAACCTTTTCGAATAATTACATTTCCACCCCTGATAAGCTCTTTTATTATTATATTATACACATGTCAATTTTTAAAATATTGCTTGTTGCACCCATTCTTTCCTTCTATTTTCCTTTAATTATAAAATCAGCCCTAACATTTTCGGATAATTACATTTCCACCCCTTGCAAGCCATTTTTTATTATTATATTATACATCTGTCAATTTTTAAAATATTGTTTGCTGCACCCATTCTTTCCTCCCATTTTCCATTAATTATAAAATTAACCCTAACATTTTCGGATAATTACATTACCACCCCTTGCAAACCCTTTTTATTATTATATTATACCCCAGTCAATTTTTAAAATATTGCTTGCACCACCCATTCTTTCCTCCCATTTTCGTTTAATTATAAAATCAACCCTAACATTTTCGGATAATTACATTACCACCCCTTGCAAACCCTTTTTATTATTATATTATACAGCTGGCAATATTTAAAAGGGTAAATTACAAACACCCCCTGAGGTATGGTTAAATTACAAAAACCCCCATCTTGTTTGGATAATTACATCTACCCCTCAACTATGATTTTTTCTTACACCTACACCCTTATGGTGCCAAATTCAACATAATCATCTAGATTCCGTGGAATGTGCTCTAGTTTGTACTCGTTTTGTGTAAAAATACAGTTTTCGATGTACCACAAACTGATATATACAAGCTAAAAATCACATATTATGATCATCTCGTTTCATAATGTAGAGTTTGAATGGGATAAAACGGGTACAAAAGTGATAATATTCCATATAATCTCGAAGATTCCACTAAATTTGAGGAGTTGAGGGGTGGTTGTAATTATCCAAACAAGAGGGGTGTTTTTGTAATTTGACCATACCTCAGGGGGGTGTTTGTAATATACCCTATTTAAAATATTGCTTGCACCACCCATTCTTTCCTCCCATTTTCCTTTAATTATAAAATCAGCCCTAACATTTTCGGATAATTACATTACTACCCCTTGCAAGCCCTTTTTATTATTATATTATACACCTGACAATATTTAAAATAGGGCAAATTACGGCCACCCCCCATGATGTATGGTCAAATTACGAAAAAACCCCTCTTGTTTGGGTAATTACAGCCACCCCCTCCTTTTAAATATTTTTACGTAAAAGTTATGTAATTCGGTTATTTACCGAACCAAATCGTATATTTAGTTCGGTAAACGGTATGAAATGTTGGCGTACTGAAATTTTGGTCTGGTTTTACCGAATTAACATCCCTAAATTTACCTCTAGAGGGTTCTTTTCGTAAGATAAATACATAGTTGAGGGGGTGGCTGTAATTACCCAAACAGGAGGGGGGTTTTCGTAATTTGATCATAGCTCAGGGGGTGGCCGTAATTTGCCCTTTAAAATATTGCTTGCACCACACATTCTTTCCACCCATTTTCTTTTAACTATAAAACCAGCCCTAGCATTTTCGAATAATTACATTGCCACCCCTTGCAAGCCCTTTTTATTATTACACCTGACACTTTGTAAAATATTGGTTGCACCACCCGTCTTTCCTCCCATTTTTCCTGTAATTATAAAATCAGCCCTAACATTTTTGGATAATTACATTTCCACCCCTTGCAAGCTTTTTATTATTACATAATACACCCGAGCTATGATGAATTTGCTTTACTTCCAAAATAAACGTTTGTAGTTTATATTATGGGGTGACTTCATTCTTGCTTTCGGTTTTAGTTGTGTATACTATGGGGTGACTTCATTCTTGCTTTTTTCTACTGTAATGTAATTTATAATTTGTGTGTATTATTGGAAAAATGAACATTAATATAATAGTTAGATGTCATTATCTATATCTTCCACTTTCTATAAAATATGAAGCTAATAAAATGGAGCAGTAGCTCCAAAATAACAGAATTTTTTGGAAGCCATATTAGACATTTTAGCTCCAAACTATAACAGAAACTTCACGAAATACTTGTAGAAAATTTACGAAATATAATCTGCCATATTACAGAAAATTTATATTTGTGACACAAGTGGACTACTATAAGATCCACCACAAAATTAAATTAAAGAAGAAATAAAATGTCTTCAATGCAAACAACGCCGCAAAATGGGGTCCGAATACGGAAAATTTCTTCATCGCCTTGTGAGTGGATGGTAGTCTACCTATCCGAAGTAACGACCTACGAGGATCATTCGAACCATAACCCTCTTTTCGGACTCATTTAATCCAAAAGTTATGTCGAGGTCAGTTGGGCTATTGCAAACGGCTTTAGCGACGGTGATCTTATCATCGACACCTAAGAATAACGGCGATAGAGCATCCAACACCTTCTTACTTGTAGTGGAAGCATCGTGCTCTAAACTTATACGGTGGGCCACATCGTGCTCAAAACCTTCTACATATAACAGTATATAACAATATTTACTGTAAAAAGCAATATATAATAGAACAATGACCAATAAACCTGCAAAATTATCAATCAATTGGATCTATTTTCAGTCATTTCCTGTTCGAATTCAACAATTGTAAATCCTACAACATTTCCTCAAGCATAAAATTTGATCATTCCTCCAAAAACTTCAGCTTTTATTAACATTGGATTCAACAAATGTATGATCTACTACTTTTCCAAAATAAAAATTTCATATTTATTCCAAAAAACTGCACCTTTTCCAAACCTTGCATTCAAACAAAAAACATACCAAAGGGGGCAACTAAATTTCAATTGAAGTCTGGACAAACCCAAAGGTTTTCTTCTTCTTTTTTTTTTCCAAAAAATGGTTATTTTCCAAAAAGCATGAGTGTACTGTACTACTTTTTCCCAAATAAAAATTGGTTATCTTTTCCAAGAAATGCTACAATTTTCCAAACCTTAAGCATGTATTATGAATACCAAAAAAAAAAAAAAAAAAAAGAGATTTTGTATCGTACAAATCAATTCTTGATAAGTTTTTCTTGACGTAGATTTTTTTTTTCTTTTGGATTGTAACAAAGAAGAGAGAGTAGAGAGAGTGGAGAAAGTGGAGAGAGTGAAGAAAAAAATGCAAGGCGTTCTACAGTCAAAAGGGCTCCTCTCACTACCATCAAACCCCAGAACCAGAGCTTCGTTCCTACCTCCGCCATTACAGAGTTTAAGGTACAAGGTACAGATTCAACCATTTAATAAACCCCATACTAAAATTATTTAAGCAGTAAATTTATACTTTATTAGTATTCTATTTCTCATGTGTCTGTCGAAACATGAAATTAAGCAGATAATACATTATAATCGGTTTAATCGAACACCCTACTCGAACACCCGATGGCGTAAAATAGTCCGATAATCACAAATTACAACCACTTACAACCAACAGTAACACACAACAATTACAGTCAATAAATAAAAATATTAATAACCATTCCATGACTGATTATAACTCCATTTGAAAGTCCCAATTTTTATGTAGAAGAAAAATAATTTATTTTGCACAAACATACCCACAAAGAATTTGAAAGTTCATAGAACTAACCTGTTTGAGATGTACGCTTCCACCACCGAAGACTTGCCGATGCTACAATCGTCCACCGCTGACTATAAGGCAAAGCACCCTGAAGCGAAACTGACGGAGAGCTCCGAAAACGAGGCGCCTGCCGCTGCTACAATTGGCCACCGCCGCCGCCGCTACAATCGGCCACCGCCGCCGCCGCTGCCTCCTTTAAACTGGTTCAACAAATTTATAATTCAGAACCCAACAAAATGAAGGGAAATAAAAAAAAATCAAACATTAAGCATGATTATGGAAGAAAACAGAATCGATAGGGCAAGAAACCAATTTGTGTAGAGAGTTGATAGTCGGGTTGCGGGTTGCTAGGGCTTGTGAGATATGAGATTGGGGGAAAATGTATTATATATGCAGTACTTTTGTAATAACAAAAGAAAAATGAGGGCATGAACGTATAAACACATGTGGGGTAGGCCGGATCTTATATCCGTTGATTGGCGGATCGCGACCCGGGCTCAAGATCTATCCGGGTTCAACATAAAGTGAACCAAAGATGAGAACCGGGTGGATTACAAGATCAATCCGGCCAAATCCAGCGAACCAAAAGGGGCCTAAAGGACTGATGCATCCACACGCAAATGTGTGTGATTGTGTGCAAGTTTACGGTGAAATACTAACCTTCTATTCCTCTTGACTCTGATTGTACATTTTTTTTTTCCTTCTTGTAAGTCACCTGGTCCCACATAAATCAAATAAGTCGGGAATCGGCATTGCATTTGCATCACCAGTAGTCTCCACAAGAACAAGCACCTTTGCTGAAATGGTGAAACCGCTTCGGATCTCTAATCACAATTTCCCGATCAATGATCTTCGAAATCAACTTAACTGTCGTATGACAGTCTTCACAAGTTCTAAGATTCTTAATTACTTGAATAGTCGCACCACGAGCCGAATTCATAATCCCGAAAACAACAGCCAACTTCTCGCTGTGAACTCGTAAAGTCATTTCCTTCTCCTCTTCATCAACATCGTGAAGAACCGAACCCACACTAGGCACATATCCAGCTTCTAGAAGCTTCCAAGATAGTTCTTTTAGGTAAGCATATATTTTTTCGTGCTGCGTATGTTGCCTATCTCCAACAAGAAACACATGAACCCTACCCTTTAGCTCAACAAGACTAAATCCAGGTGATTTAACAACACCGTGATTTTTCATAAACACCCGCATTTTGTTCACATCTTCCCATCTACCAGCATCAGCGTAAATATTCGATAGCAACGTGTAATAACCCGAATTATTTGGATCCAACTCTAACAATTTCCTAGCTGAAATCTCCCCAAGCTCCACATTTTTATGTATCCTACACGACGCCAAAAGAGAACACCAAATCACAAAATCGGGCCTCGCTCTCATATCCATGATCAGATTATAAGCTCGTTTAATATACCCTGCTCGACCAAAGAGATCAACCATGCAGCCATAGTGTTCGACACTTGGTTTTATATTGAACCTGTGCTGCATAGCGCAAAACCAGTGCCACCCTTCGTCGACCATGCCAGCATGGCAACAAGCTGAGAGGACTGATATGAAACTGATACTGTTCGGTTTTACTCCAGCGTTAATCATGTCGGACAATACTTTGAGCGCTTCTCTTGCTTGACCGTGCATTCCATAACCGGCAATCATGGCAGACCATGATTTTACGTTCTTGACATTCATCCTATCGAATGCTCTCCTTGCTGTATTTACTCTGCCGCATTTGCAGTACATGTCGATTACTGAAGTACCCACGAATACATTACTCTCCAAAGTCATCTTTATAACCTATAATAAAATAAGGAATCATCAATAATCATACGGCGAATTAACTAATATTGTTCTTTTAAAAAAAATTGCAGAAAATGCATCGCAGTACCTGAACGTGTATTTCCTTGCCGATTCGAAGTGCTCCCGAATGTGCACAAGCTAACAACACCGCCGACAGTGTTATTGCATTATAGTCAGCCTCTGCATTGCTCACCATCGACTGGAAAACTCCGATGGCCTCGTCAGCCAAACCATGTTGTGCACAAACTGCAATGATGGAATTCCAAGATATCAAATCTTTATCATTCATTTCATCGAACACCTTCCTAGAAAACTCGACCATGCCACACTTGGCGTACGCATCGATGAGAGTATTGCCAACACCTAAAACCTCATCCAATCCTCTTTTAATCACAAACCCATGAACCCCTCTCGTGACATTCTTCTCGCAAATACGCGAACAAGCCGCCAAAATGGCAACCATAGCAACCCCATCGACGCACCCTTCATCATCATCCACGCCGCCGACATCGCTTTCTTCAACTAACCGCTCTTTGAAAAGCAACAACGCCTCGCGGGCACAGTCGTTCTGAACATACCCGTTAATCATCGAGGTCCAGGAGACCACGTTTCTGTGAGGTATTTCGTCGAACACGTTTCTTGCATCGTCCAATTCGCGGCATTTGGAGTACATATCTATAAGTGCAGACGAAGTGAAAAGGTCTGAAGCATAACCGAATACAAACGCTTGCTGGTGGGCTTGTTTTCCCGAGATGAGATCGCAGAGGGCGGAGCAGGACTTGATCGCGCAAGGGAAAGTTGAACGGTTGGGATTAATGGCGGATTTGCGCATGGAGGAGAAGGCCTTGAGGGATTCGACTGAGTCCCCACTCCGAGCCAACTCGGCGATGATGGAGTTCCAGGATAAGACATTGGTCTTGTCGACGTATTTGTTGAACAACGTGGTGATGTTTGCATTGGTCGAACAATGGCGCCTCTGTAATAAAACACGGGGATTCCATTTTGTAGCCTTCATTCATTAGCTTTTGAGCCCTGGCTTTTCGGTGTAAAATCAGATTTACATATACATATATATATATACTAGGGGTGGAGCTCCGCGCAAGGCGCGGAGCTGGTGCCCGATCGATTAAACCATACAACAATAAAATCATTACATTGCTATAAAACAAAGAGAAAAATGGAAAAACAACAGCAAGCAACGGTGAAGATCTTATTCCTTTATAGTCCATAGAAACAAAATTTAGAGAAACTACAGATTCAGCATGAGCTTGAAGAACTGTAGTCTGCAGATAAAAAATTGTTATTTTGTACTGCTCTTCTTCAAATCTTACAAAATGCAACTACATATGCAAACTCTTTTCCAGCGTAATAGATAACACAAAAAATTTCTAAATATTATGTTTAGATGAATGTATTAAAGCTTACAGTTTCTAGCAACGATGATGTAAAAGCTCCCTCCACCTATTCTCATATTTGCCTGAACAGGGGCACCAAAGCCAATTGACGAATCATGAGGTCTGAAAAGAATTGAGGCAAAATATTTAAGTTCTCGTATAGGAAAATAATAAAATTCTGAGGATAGAAATTTACACATCAAATAGTCAATGCGCCATAATCAGTTGCTACCATCATTGGCAATCATAGAAGTTGTTTCCGTATAAAATCAAGGAAATATTTCCCGAAACAAATTAGAATGAACCTTTCATTAAAAAAAGTTTGCTCCATCGAAGCCCGAAGAAAGAAAAAATCAATGCTAATATAAAACACTACACATTCTCTTGAGAAAATCTCGAAATTCCTTTTCAGCACATAGAAGAAAACAATAAAAAAGATAAATTTTTATTTTTTCCGAAAAATCAGCATCACGGAAATGAATCCCAAATCTCAAATCATAATTACTACTACCTTAAAATATGTTTTTCACGATCTTGTTTCAATCAAAATTATCTACAACCTTTTATTCCAAAGCCCTCGAACAAGTTGTTATTTTCTTTAATTACGAGAGAATAACTTAATAATTAAGAGAGAAGTTAAGAAGGCTGACAACACAAGTAAAAAAGTCACTCACAGTCACAGCTACAGCCTACACTAACTTATGTAGTAAATCAGTTACAAGTAAGTATACTAACAAATAATCATAAAATTACACAAATAAATAAAATTGTCATACCTGATCATAAAAGCAACGATAGAGTTGTAAAATGTAAGGACATCGAAGATGGCTCTGTATTTCGACCTCACGAGTCTTGTCGAAGTTGATGTTCAACCTGGGAGTAGTGCCACAATGTGATTAATGTGCTCTTAAAAAGGAAATTACATTTATTGAACAAATATCAAACAATCCTTAATCAGGAGAAGCAAATTCCGATATAAAAACAACAAAATAATTTACCAGGGGCTGCGTCAGATCCACCGAATCAAAAACCAATCAAAAAACATAGGGATCAAATTGAAAATATCAACCGAATTAAAATGCTAAATATAGTGGGAAAAAATACAATCCCACAAAGGACAGATTCTAATGTAGAGGAATTGCAAGGGGAAATTTTGGGGAGCGGTGGAAAACTCGATTGGCCAACGCCGGAAAGCGCCACGCACAGACGACGGCCCCGGGCAGATTCTCACCTGAAGCGGCGAGCTCTTTTCGATAGGCTCCCCTGGTCGGCGGTCGCGGCTTCGTCGGCGGAGTGAAAGGTGGGAGGAGTTGGGTGCTGGAGTTGCTAATATATTTATAGCGCAAACTTATTAATATGCCTTTTCCGATAATTATTTACTGCACAAAATAAAATTTAGGGTAAAATTCATTTTGCACCCCTACCCCTGTACTATGCAAAATGTATCATTTACCCCCCTGAAGTATAGAAAACATCAAACACCCCCTACCGTTAGTTTTTTTTCTAATTCCGTTAGTCAAACTCTTTGACCGACTATTGCAAAAAAATGTTGGCTTTTTTTTTTTTTATTAACGAAAATACCCAAAAAAATTTCTATATATAGGATGCTTCGTTTTGACAAATGTTCACCGGATTTTTCACCTTTTTCAGCCCTATTTTTTCACTTTATTCAATCATATTTTTAACATTTTCAGCCATTTTTCTTATAAAAAACCTGAATAGTCGAATAAATAAGAATGAAGCTTTGCAGATTATGAATGTAAAACCCACAAAAAGAAAAATTAAAAGCCCTGAAATCTAAAAGAAACCCTAAAATTAGAATAAAACCATATGAAAGAATTGCAAATTAAAAACAAAGCTTTTCATATTATAATGGAAAAATCCTCGAAAAAGAAAACCAAAAATAAAATCAAATTCTAAAATCGACAAAAACCCTAACAATCCACAAAAAATATGCCTAGAAAAAATTAGGAATTATATCAAACATAAAAACAGGGTAAGAGCAACTCCAACTCATTGTTATCAAATGGGTTTATCAAATACTCATTTGATAACCATGATTATACTTTGATATCTCTGTACAATTAGTGAACTCCAACCACAAGTATCAAAAAACAATTATCAAATAAATTTATGATTATTTATATATTATTTATTTTTTAATCCATTTTAAATAATCATACAAACCAATTTTTCTGGTAAACTATCCTCAAAATCAATATTAATCAAATTTTTACCTTTTGAAAACAGAAAAAAAAAATAATAAATATATATATACATAGATATTTTTTTTTTTTCCGTGGAACTTTGTTGAAGCTCTAGAGAAAGAAAAAAATTGTGTTGAGATATTTTTGAGATTTTTTTCCAGTTGAAATTTGTTGAATAGATAAAGAATTTAATTTTATTCTGTTGAGATTTTTACGTAAAGAAAATAAAATTACTTTTGTTGAGGTTTTTCTTTTTTCACGTGCTCCTATTTTTTAAGAGGATATTTGATAATTATTAATTTGGGATGTATTTTTACTTCCGGATGAATGAGTTATTAAAATAGAACTTTATTTTAATAACCCCATTGGAGGAGAGAGTTTTTAAAATTGGGGAGTTAAATAGAGGTTAATGGATTTGATAACCCATTTAATAACCCCCGTTAGAGTTGCTCTAAAAGAGTCATTGCACACTCAAATTTTAACACCGTTAAAAATTTGACCATTGACCGTTAAAAATAGGGGGGTGTTTGATGTTTTCGATACATTAGGGGGTAAATGATACCTTTCACATAATACAGGGGTGCAAAATGAATTTTACCCTAAAATTTATTATCGGCTATGTTTATTTCTAATTTTATTTTGGTGCTATGTTTATTTCTAATTTTATTTTGTGTAGAGAAATTGTTTCAATATGTCACGTCACTATATGTATATATATTTAGTTTCGAAGAATAACAACAATCCGTTGTAGTCTAGTTGGTCAGGATACTCGGCTCTCACCCGAGAGACCCGGGTTCAAGTCCCGGCAACGGAATTTAAACTTTTGAACTTTTAACCTTATTTTATGTAAAATATAAGACCCAATTACGGACTCTGGAGGCCCATTCAAATAAAGCCTTTTTATTTTTTGATAAAAAAAATTGAAATGTTAAATGTCATTTCAAATTTAATTATATTGTTTTGTCTTCGGATGTAATTTTAACCATTTTCTAGTAAGACTATATTAAAATTCAAAACATGGAAATTGTAGTCCTTCGAGATAGTTTTCTAACACAATTTGAATGACAGAGATCGGATGTCGGATGACAACGTTATGCATCAATGAATTACATTTCCAATTTTAGATATCTCAAAACATCGAAATTATCAGAAAATTAAAAAAAAAAAAAAAGAGCAAAAAAAATAATAAAAAAATTCAAGTCAACGAGAAAACATAGGCCATGACGAGTCGCAATATATTTTTAATTTTTTTAATTTTTTAATAGTATTTAAACTAGGAGGGTGGATTTTTTATTAGAAATATATGCAGAGACAATCTAAAAAGATTAGTGGTTTACAAATTAAATAATAGTTAGTTAGAAATATATTTAGTTGATTTTTTAAAGTCTTCACAAACATAATTATTATATATATATATATATATATATATATATATATATATATATATATATATATATATATATATATATATATATATATATATATATATATATATATATATATATATATATATATATATATATATATATATATATATTCCCGAAGATATAGGTGATAAAGCGATGGATTGGAATGATATTCCCGAAGAACTTCTTCAATTGAAACTATCAAATCTATTTGTTAAAGATAGATACAGTTTTAGTCAAGTATGTAGATTTGGGATGCAGCTGTGGGAGCCTCACCATTTCGTAATTCTCCATGTTTACTGTTCAATAATCGAGAGAGCAATCCTGCCTGGAAATTCTTTCAGCACAACACTTTCTTCTTCAATGTGGATTCCCCCAAACTCGAAGACGCAGTAATACGCTTCTCCAATCACGGATGGTTGCTCATGACATCCCGTGATAACGGAACTCTCCTTTTCTACCATCCTTTTAACAATCATATAATCCAACTACCTACACCAAATTATGCCTTCAAAACAATATGTTTCTTCCACCCGCCAACTTCCCCAGAGTGTTTTGTCGTTGGAATTGCAACTGAAATGGTGTCTTCATATGATATGATGAGAATAGGAGTTCTTAAACATGGAGAAACTAAATTGGAAGAAAAGTATTAACCACAACAAATATCATGCATTTATGTTGTCCGCTGCCCCTCCAATTTTCAGTAATGGGCTACTATTGTTTTTGGATGTCAAAGGAAATGTGGGAGTCTTTAATATCAATAGACATTGCACTCCTCTTGATTGGGGTGTCTTCATGAAGTGTCTCAAGCAACGTCGGCGCCGTAGAAATATTAAAGAGCACTACTTGATCAAACCTGAGGGCGAGAGAGAAATTTTTGTTGTGTTCGCAATGCACGATGACAGCAAAAAGGTGAGTGTATTCAGGCTTTCGCGTTATTTTTCGTGAGAATTGGTGGAAGATATAGGGGATAGGGTGTTTTATGTGAGCAACACGTCGTCGTTCGGGTATAGAACTAACGTAAAAACCATGGCGAACAAGATTTTCTTCACCAAATTCCACGGAGATAAGGTTGTGTATTACTCTATGGATACACAAAAGTTTCATTCTTTCGAAGGCGCTTATTCAAGCAAAACTGTTCATGGTCTCGAAAGTGGCATGCAACTTTCAGAAGAATCATTGGCATGGTGTCCACCGGTGGATCAAGCTTCAACTTGACAATAGTTTAAGTAGGTTTTTTCATCTCTTTAATGTTATGTCTTTTCAGTACTACTTAATTTATAATAACAATTTAACGCCTACTTCAGTACTAAATTTTTTTCCTTGTTTTCTTTATTGTGATTTTTTAAATGACATAATAGATTGTAAATGTCATTCTTGCTTACTTCTCCATCTATCTATCACATATCACATGGAAGAACAAAAATATCAAAACCTTCTTCACTTTGGCCCTAATGTAAATAATTTAATAATGTGTCTATAGATGAATAAATAATGAGAGTTTAGTGAAACATTTATTGATGGAGTACAAATTTCGTATTATTAGACAGCTAACTCAAAGAACTACAAATTTCGTATTTTTAGTTTTACCAAATTTAGCATCGAAAATAGTCAAAATCACTTTTGAAGTCGAGACGATAAATCGTTTTTGTTCTCGTACAATAAAAAACACACACGCCGGAGCCATGATTATTGTCATTCATAAAGCATGGTGCAAAAATAAAAACTGGTACTTCATTGCATACAAATGAACAAACAAATTATGCCAAAAATAATCGCGAGTTATATTGTGCAAACAAGTCTTGAAATAAACATGGTCGAATTACCGGCAAGGTTAATGGTGGTGGTTGTGGTGGCGGTGGTGTTTTCGGTTGCAGAAGGGTCATCAAACGTCCAACCGCCTAACGATCTCAAATTTCCGGCAGAAGTGGTGGAGGAGCCGAAGCCGGTGATGGTGACTCAGCAGCCTGTGGCGTCGGCGGCAGGGGAGGAGGATGATTACCACATATGGAATCCGCCACCGTTCGTTAACCGTGGTTGGAGTGGAGCTCCCATTCCTCATGCAAAGCACCAGAAAGATGAAAGTTGCCGACTCAACTCAATAATTTCATTGGTTAATAATTAATATTATTATTTTTTTCTTTTTCAAACTGCATCTTCTTTGCTAGACTTTGTAGATACAAATGTTTCCATTATTGTTTTTTGCCATAATATATTATGAATCAAAATTTAATTTGTCATAAGAAAAAAGTTCTATAAACAAAACAAAAAGAAATCGTTGTAAGGAAATAAAGTGCTTCGGACAAAATTCGAAAGGTCAATACAATAACCATTAGTTTCGTAAGCAAGCAAGCAAAAAAAAAAACCGAATATAATCGGGGTATCGCACTATTATCCCCCGTAAACCTCTGCAGAAACCTCCACTGGGAACTGGAAAGCAACTTATACTATATATCTATGCTTGTAGAGTGTACCGATACTGGAACGTATTACCTGTCAACAATAACAGAAATAAAAAAATTTACGTCGTATATATGAATAAGGAAATTAGCACACGTAAAAAAAAAAAAAAAAAAAAAAAAGTTAACTTACTGGAGCACCACACAAGAGTGTAGGAACACATTCACATAAGATGAATAGACGATGGACCGGTGAAAGCTGCGACTTTTTGAGCTCGGTGGCCTTCGGACTTGTAAAGCCCCTTCATTTCTTTCTTCATTAGCCTTGCCTCACGTCTTTCTAATTTCACCGCAGACTGCAAAACGAACACTCCCAATTTCATATACCTTAACCAAATAAAATAAAAAATAAAAAATAAAAATAAATTATACCTTTCTTTCTTTCTTCTCTTCCTTCGTCTCTTCACCGCGTGGCTTAGGTTTTGGCACTTCGGTTGTCTTATCACTCACATCTTTTACCTTGCTTTCGCTGTGTTTTCTGCTCTGAGGCAAAAAGTCTACAGGAATCCTTTCTTTACCTCCGAGTGTTATCACTTGGCCAATGGGGCCCGCAGAAAAAATCGCATCCGTTAACTTCTTCTTCCTCCTTGATTCCGGAGCTCCAATTTTACCGGGGTGATTATCAAGTGTCGAATAAGTAGTCACAATAGTTTCGCAATCCCACTTTTCTGATTCGTCACTACTAACTTCAACCAACACATCTTCTAAATCATCATCTTCGTCTTCGTATTTTACACCGTATTCTTTGCACCGACGAATCACTTCAGCGGTTAATTCCGGTGGCTCATCATCTTCTTCTACATCCTTGTCCCTTTTGAGATGCAAGAGATTTGAAGGATTATGTTTCAACGCATGGCTGAGCTTTTCCGAGATGGATTCTTCCACATCCATGAACTCATTATATTCTTCTTCTTCTTCACTATCGGCACCATATTCATTAAGTTCAAGCTGCAATTCAATAATTGATTAATTTTCGACAATGTTCATCACGATTTACATCAACACAAAAAAAAATTAAAAAAAATTAAAACATTAAAAAAATTAAAAAATATTACCATGTCAAAGTATTCATCTAAAGGACGACGAGTTCTAGGCTTCTCACTATCGAAGCCCGAAACACGAGCCGCATTTTCTATTGAGGGCTTAACCATTTCTGTTGAGGGTTTAATTCTTGAATCTGAAACAGAGCTCAACTTCTCCTCGTTGATTTCTTCAGCAATCGGCCCTTCGGAAATATTAGCTATGGCAACAAAATCCTCTTCCAAATCTTCAATATCAGACCCGAACTTCGACGAATCACTGTCGTCCAATAACGCAGCTACTTCAGGATCAACTGCCTTCTTTAATCTTACACCAACAGTCTTTGATGCCACATTGTAGATAGGTTTTTCCTCATAAGCATCATTTATCTTAGAAACCTCAACCCTCGAAGCATCGTAAGCCTACCAATCGCACAAAATTCAATAAATAAAATAAAATCATAATTTATACATTTCATCTCCAATTCAAGAAACATAACAGTTAAGTTAATCCTACAAAATTAGAAAATAACACAATCACAATTCGCAAAAAAGTTCGACACTCGCAACAATTGTAATGGGGATTTTAAAACAATAAATTAAAATTAATTAATTGTACCTTAACATCCGGCGGAAGCACCTCAAAGCTAGCCTTGGGATTATCATAGTAAGCTGTTCCAGCACCTTTTTCCTTAATTTCCCGCAAATGGGTCAAGTAATTGTACCCGTCGTCCGGAAACCCTAGATTCAGAATCTCCTCCCGTATGTGGTCTGGCAATTTATGTTTGCGTACGGCGTCGTTTGAATCCTCGTCGTCGCCGTCGCAATCTTCAGGGGCATCGGCGAAAATCGAGTCCTCTTCTGGGTCATCTTCCTCAAAGACAGAAGGTACGTTCTGATTGTGGTCGACCCGGATTAAAATTTGGTCACGGGACGGCCCGGATGAGTACTTCGGGTCGGACGTATCCCGGGCCATAATCTTGTATTTGGAGGCATTTTTCTTATCGATAAATTTCTTTTTCCCCATCCTTTTTTCGCCTGAAGAGACAACTGTATCAGAAATCTATGATAACACGAACCTGACAGCAAAATTAAAGAGTTAAAGCTTTACCTTAGCTGAAGAAAACTGTCGCCGCCGTCAATTTTAAGCTTGAAAGAAACAACGATGGCGGAAGTGGGGTTTGAGAGTTCAGAGTTGAGAAACAGGGAGATAAACCCTAATAATAATACCAGAGATCAAAACGTCGTCGTCGTTTATAAATAAATGGTAATATATAATAAAATTACTAGGGGTATAAAGGGTAGTTCATCCATACGTTGCTCTGGCAATAAGAGAAATGACCTGGCATAATTAAAAGTTAAAAGCACACTCTTTTTCACCGCCGCCGCCGTCGCCAATCTCGGGCCAGGGTTCGACTTCCTCGGCTGCGCCGTCGACGGCATCGGCGACCACGTCGAACTCCGCATCGACCCCAACGTCCGCCCCGGAGAAATCGCCATCTCCCACATCTCCGGCGCCGGCTCCAGGCTAAGCAAAAACCCCCCTGGGGAACTGCGCCGCCATCGCCGCCATGAAGATGCTCAGCATCCGATCCGTAGGCCTCTCACTCCCCCTCGGCTCCAGCGCTGCCGCAGCCGCCGTCGCCATCAACGAACTCCTCGGAAACCCCCTTCCGCCGTCCGATCTCGTCCTCGCCGGACTCGAATCGGAATCAAAAGTCTCCGGCTACCACGCCGACAATATCGCCCCATCAATTCTAGGAGACTTCGTCTTAATCCGCAGCTACGATCCTCTCGATGTAATGCAGCTCAAACTCCCGCCGGAAAACGACTTGTTCTTCATCCTAGTAAACCCCGAATTCGAAGCCCCCCCCAAAAAAAAAGACGAGGGCGGCGCTTCCACAGGAGATAACAATGTCCCAACCACGTGTGGAACTGCAGCCAAGCAGGTGCATTAGTGGCATCAGTGTTACAAGGTGACCTCATAGGGTTCGCGAAAGCACTCTCGTCGGATAAAGATCGTCGAGCCGATGCGATCCCCCTAATTCCGGGAATGGACGCCGTCGAGAAAGCGGCAATCGAAGCCGGTGCGTTTGGATGCACGATAGAGTTGGAGCTAGGCTTGTCAGCAGTGTTCCAAGATGAATGATGCAATAATTAATTTACGGAATTTCCGACGCACTTTGATCGAGATTCGAAGAATGATCTTCGGTAATTACTAGTAGAAGATTGAATTTTTTTTTTCGGGAGTTTCGAGTGGAGTAGTGGTTTTTGCAGTCTTTGGGGTGGTTTTTCGTTGTAGTTGCGGAATATAATCGTGCCGATTTTTTTGTTTGTAGAGGATAATTAGCTCTGCTCTAAAGATGATGCCATGCTATTTGAATTTGGGAGATTAATTCAGGTATATTCTTCAGTATGAGTACTTGTTTTTGTCACATTCTTTTTAGTAAAATCCTAATACTTTTTTCGGAAATGAAAATTTAATTCCAGTTTAATTCCACACGAAAAATCGGCATTCGAAATTTCCAAAATTGGAACGAAAATACTTCATTCCAAAATCATTTTTATGAATTGGTGAATTTCAAAATTTCCAGATTTTTAATCACCACCTATAGTACAAAAATATATAATAATATTGAGTTAAAATTATTATTTTCTTGGAACACAATCGGAATAATAGGATTTTTTTTATTTATTTAATAAAATTATTTAATGTTCCTTGGGAAATAATTAATTAATAAATAAATTCAAATTACCTCCCACAAGATCACTAATCTTGGCGGTTGATTTCAAAGCTTCGCGCAAAAAAATTTAATAATAATAAAAAAAAAAAAAAAAAAAAAGAAAAAAAAAAGGTATTCTCCGAATAATTCGATGGACTCTTGGAATTAACGATGTTACCTTGATTAACGCTTTTACGCAGTCTCTCTCTCTCTCTCTCTCTTAACCATAAACATATATTTCTCTCTCTCTGTTTCTTTTTTTTTTCTCTTTTTCTGTCTGTGTGTTTCTCTCTCTTCTCCAACCTTTTTCACCATGGGTTATTTCAGCTCGTACATACTTTTCTTAATTTCTTAACATACTTTTTTTTCTTTTGTTGTTTTTTTTCCTGGAAAATTAAACATCATATTCCACGTTTTTAAAGACAACGTAATTTAAGGTTAGACGAATCTATGGCATTTTATGCCAATTTGCATGCATGTTATATACGCGCAGCAACGTTTTTTTTTTTCGTCACGTCATGTTTTTATTGTTAATTGATAGATACGATCAAGTACCGACGAATATCGGAACAAAGATACCGCATTTAGAGCTGAAAGCGTAAAAGGGGGAGGAATCGCAGACGGAAAAAAAATACTATTAAAAAAAGCAAAACGTACGTCGAGCTTAATTGGAGCTTGAATTGTTTGATTCAAGGATAAATTTAACTTAGCAATAAAGTTTTTGCTTTTTTTATAATTATGTAATAATTTTTTTTTTTTTTTGTTGCAGAGAAAATCGACAAGCCTTGAATTCGAACCACTAACATATAAAGTCCCTCTCTTTGTTAAAAAGAGAGGGATTTATATCAAGGCTTCTACTTGTTGGTTCTCATACATATAGATATATTTCTATATATATATATATATATAGACAGAGACTGTTCGTTCTTTAAAACAAAAAAAAATAAAAAAAATAGGGTAGAGGATTAAAAAAGAAAATGGGGTCGATTAGTGGGGACAGTCTGTTGGAATGGGACGGTCAAGATTCGAGCATACAAGAGGAGAAAATATTCGTGGCCGTTAGATTGAGGCCGTTGAACGAGAGAGAAATTAGTAAAAACGATGTCTCGGATTGGGAATGCATCAATAGTACCACCGTTATTTTCAAGAACTCTCTTCAAGAACGCTCGTTGCTTCCAACTGCCTACACATTCGGTACGCCGTTTTTCGAAAATTTATTTTTTTCTTTAATATGTATTGATTTTTTTAAATTTTTTTGGAAATATATATAGTAGGTTTTTGAGAAGTTGCCGGGGGGGCCATGGCCCCCCTCATAACTCTATACCGGCTCTGCCACTGAACGTCAAAGATTGAGATAGTTTTATAAAATTGGTTATGCATTGTGTTATTATTTTTCTTGTTTATTGAATCTGCAGATAGAGTATTCGGGCACGACTCTCCGACGAGGCAAGTTTACGAAGAAGCTGCTAAAAAAATCGCGCTCTCTGTATTAAGCGGAATGAATTGTGAGTCTTTTTAAATATTTTTTTCGATGCTCTATCGAAAATGATCATTAATACAAATATATATATAACCGTGTCCGAATTTACCCTCCAGCAACTATTTTCGCGTACGGCCAAACGAGCAGTGGGAAAACATTCACCATGTCCGGAATTACAGAGTGCACTGTAACAGATATTTACGACTACATTAAAAAGGTATTTCTAACAACATTAATTAATAATATTAAATAATAATCTGGTTCATTAATTTAAATTTGTTTTTTTTATATAAAAACGTGTAGCATCGCGAACGAGATTTCGTGTTGAAATTTTCGGCCATGGAAATTTACAACGAAGCCGTAAAAGACCTCCTATGTTCAGATGGTACTCCACTTAGACTTCTTGATGATCCAGAGGTAAAATATTTAACTTTAAAAAATATATAAAAAAAATTAAATAAAGGATATTTTTTAGTGATTCTCGTCTGTGTATTTACAGCGAGGGACCGTTGTCGATAAACTCACGGAGGTGACTTTAAGGGACGAAAATCATCTATACGAGCTCTTATCGATTTGTGAAGGTGTGAATATAAGCAAATAATAATTAGTGCCACTATTATTTTTCATGCAAAATAACAAATATATAATTACTCTTTATGTGTATTATTATTTTATTTTTAATTTTTTGTTGCTCAGCTCAAAGGCAAATAGGAGAGACTACTCTTAATGAACTCAGCTCAAGATCTCATCAAATTCTTAAATTGGTAAAATTTATTAAATTTACCTTATTTTTTTTAATTAATTATGCACTATTAACTTCCGTTTTCGACGGATGTTCATGCAGACGGTCGAAAGTGAGGCTCGTGGGTACTTTGGTGCCGAGAATTCGAGCACTCTAACAGCTTCAGTGGTAAGAAAAAAAAACATTGTTGTAAGGAATTAAAAGTAGAAACCTTAAAAAGAAAATCCGATTTTTATTTTTTTTTTCCGACGCAGAATTTTGTGGATCTTGCTGGGAGCGAACGAGCTTCTCAAACACATTCAGCTGGGACAAGGCTGAAAGAAGGTTGCCACATTAACCGCAGTTTGCTTACGCTCGGGACGGTTATTCGCAAACTAAGGTAATATATATATTTTTTTTGTCCAAAAAAAATAAATTTGAAAAAAAAGTACGAAATTCGAAATTTTGAATTTTCCGATTGTGTGCAGCAAAGGAAGAAATGCGCATATTCCATATAGAGACTCGAAGCTGACACGAATACTACAAAACTCGTTGGGCGGAAATGCGAGGACAGCTATTATATGCACAATGAGCCCGGCCCACACTCACGTGGAGCAATCGAGGAATACGCTCCTGTTCGCCAGCTGTGCAAAACAAGTCAACACAAACGCACAAGTGAACGTGGTGATGTCGGAGAAGGCCTTGGTCAAGCAACTGCAGAGAGAGCTAGCGAAGATGGAAGGCGAGTTGAGGAATTTGAGCTCTCTCTCTTCTTCATCGGGCGTCAGTTCTTCTTCGGCACTTAGAGAGAAAGAACTTCTCATCGAAAAGGTGAACCGAAAAAATAACAACGAGAATTCAAATTCTCAAATTCTTGTCTCACTTATTTAGTTATTACATATTACTTCGCAACGGCTTAGGTAACCAAAAACTAACTAGAATCAAGAAGCATTTTCACTTCTAGTTAAGTTGCATGTATGTGATGTGGGGGCCGTGGCCCCCCTCGCCGCTTCTCAAAAATCTTTGTATTTTTGTAAAGTTTCTTTTTTTTGTGTATATTGGCAATGTGTATATGTAATAAAATTTTGAATTCTTAATTTTTTTTTTTGCAGATGGACAAAGAGATAAGAGAATTGACACATCAACGCGATTTAGCGCAGTCCCGTGTTGAAGATATGCTCCGATCGGGTGGAGAATATCAAGCTTCGAAAACTTGGGTTTGTTGATTTATTTATTTAATTTTATTCTTTTTTGTCAAATAGATATTAGCATGAACTTAACTCCCATATTTTTTGCCTGATTAGGGTTATATGAATCACCATGAGAAAGGCTCGTGGACGGATGAATATTCAGCCTCGGAAGCTTCCGAGATAAACGACCCTTTTAGGTCAGACGTTGCTTCTAGAACATCCCATTTCTCCGAAAGATACGACAATGTTGTTTCGAGCAAGATCGAAGACCAGTTCAACGAGAATATCGAGGAGCAGTTCTTGTCCGATGACACGTCACCACGACTGTACATCGATAAGTACTTTGGTCCCGATCCATGTCAAGGATGGGAGAAGATCGCTCAAGAACCGAACAAGGTCAATATCGAAATCGATAATTGCAAGGAAGTTCAATGCATCGAAATCGATTTAAGCAAAGGAAATCAGATTTCGAATACGCCTTCACCACAAAAGGGAGATCATGTTTCAGGTTTGTAAATTGTAACACTTCTATTTTTTTCATTTTTTTCGCCCGACTTTGTATTAATTTTTTTATTCTTATTTGGTAGCGAAATCTTTTTCTTCGTCGGAGATTGACTTTTCTTCATCGGAGAACGAAGATTTCGATCACGCTGTGAAAGTAGTGAGGAGCCAAAGCTGTGAAGCAATAATGACCACAATAATGAAATCTCCGAGTTTCGAAGAGGCGAAAGAAAACGAAAACGACAACGCATTACAGAACGAAGCGAATCATGATCAAGAAAAGGTTTCTGATATCGAGACTGTGGTTACTAATAACAACGAGAATACACGCACAGAGGATTCACAAAGTTCTGTGACAAACGACACTTTTAATGAACAAGAAGAAGAGAAAAAGATCATGGTAATAAATAAAGAATGCGTGGACAAGAAGCAAGAAGAAGAAGAAGCCCAAGTCAACGAAGTGATTGAAATCGAGCCCAAGTCAGCAAAGAAAATCGAGAAAATCGACCCTTTACCGGTACGAAATCATTTCTCATCCACACATATAAATATACTTTAGCATCTATTGGATTAAAGTAAAGATTCTTTTTTTCGTATTCTTTTTGGTAGAAGGAAAAGGAGGAGGAAAAGAAACCGAACAAACCCGAAGAAACCGCAGATGATGGTAGCTCCGATAAAACAAAGGATATAAAGAAATCGTCTTCCGACTGGCAAATTGAATTCGAGAGGCAAAAGAAGGAAATAATCGAACTTTGGAATTCTTGCCACATTCCTTTAGTTCACCGAACCTACTTTTTCCTGCTATTCAAAGGCGATCCGTCGGATTCCGTTTACTTGGAGGTGGAGCTTCGACGCCTATCCTTCCTCAAGAACTCAATGCACGGTGTCACAGACGATAAATCCTGCAAACAGGCCTCGAGGTATTCTTTTATATATAATACTAGATCATTTTTTAGAAGCGATGGGGCGGTGGGGGGGTCACGGCCCCCCTGTGGGGCCCGATGATGGATCAGTTGCTGACGACTATTATTATCTCTCGTTGTTTAACAGCGCAAAGGCTCTGAAACGGGAGAGAGAAATGCTGAGCAGAAGATTGTTGAAGAAGTTATCTGCTAAGGAGAGACAAGCACTATTCGAAAAGTGGGGCATCGACGTAAAATCGAAGCAGAGGAGGCTCCAGCTCAGCCGTAAGCTGTGGACCGAGACAAACAACATGGAGCATGTTAGCGAGAGTGCAGCCATTGTGGCTAAGCTGGTGGGGTTCAAAGAGGCGGGCCGGGCCCCAAAAGAGATGTTCGGGCTGAGCTTTCTGCCGGCGAACGTGAGGGCGTCCAGCTGGAGAAACAGCTTGATGTAAAGAAAGGCTTTTATTATAAACTGGTATTCGAAAATACAGTTTTTAATTTTAGTGAACATTTAGCCGAAAAAAAAATATATTTAAAAAAAAAAAAAAAAAAAAACAATTACCATTTTTTAATTTGTTTATGGGATGAGGAATTGGTTTAGAGTTTTTGTTAGTTCTTGAAAACCTTAAAACTTTCCTCGTGTGTATAATGCATGTGTGGTTGGTGAGATTCTAACTCCCTCTTTCTAATTCTTCTCCCATATATATATATATATATATATCTATATTTATATCTATATATAAAATTTATATATATATTTATCCTCTCTGTGTTTCATTTCACTATCATATAATTATGTCTCGGTTGTGATTCGGGGTTTTGTTCAAATTAAACATGCGTTTGTCGAATACGATTCTTGTGTTCGAGCTCGAGTCTATATTTGATTGGTTATAAGCTAACTGCTGTGACAATATGGACTCAACTCGACCGATAAAATTGAGCCGAAAATTAAAAGTTCGACGAACTCGAGCTCGTTGAAATGTTTATTGAAGTGGTACAGTTCAAACAGAACATGCATTCATGATTAAATAAAAAAATAAAAAAAAACAAAAAAAAAACAATATTATCATAATGTAGATGCCAAAAAATAGAAACAAACAATATAATTTACAGAAACACAGAAGCATTTACAAAGGTCAATTGAAATTACGATTTGAGCACAGCTCCTTCGACAATTTTCCAACCGGATTTGGCACAAGACATTTCATATCGTGTAGTATAAGTTGTACTATACGAGTCGTTGTGTTCTGGTTTAGCTACATCTGTTAGCTGTGCAGACTCTTCCAAAGTTGCTTCCACAATAGCACGACGGCCATCAACAGACACGGTTACACTATCGATATTCAGGTTCACAAGTTGGTAGTCCCAAAACCACCCGTGTTGTGCAATTTCCGCAGCTCTCTCGGTCCAGATCTTTAGCATTTGACCGTCCAATACCTGCCAGGATAAATATCGTTCGCTTACGTCTCTTTTTGATTAATTAAAATAATTTTGGACATTTTTTTATGTTTGGTTAATAATCTTATCCTGACTAAATACTATTTTGTCGACCAAAACGATGCCTTGTTGACATAAGGAAACGGAGATTTGACACAAGTAACTGCAATGTCTCTTGACCTAAATGCATCTAAATAGCAACTGATACTCTACATGTTCGTTTGAAGTCCTTCGGAAGAAGGAAAAAACGAGAGAACTGGGAATAGCAGGGGGGTGTTAGAGCATTTATATGACTCGTCATCTTATTCAAATTGGAGCTGAAGTACGAAAAATAGCAATTGAGTCTAAGAGAGAAATAACTAAGAAATACTCGCCTCAGACAATTTTTCAAGACAATGATCAGGACCAAGAGCTAAAGACTTGACGTTTTGCCACTTGCACACGAGACTTTCCGCAAACCTTGCATCCATTCGAGGTATTTCATCAGAACTTTCAACTGGTGAGGCCCCTGAAAGTAATATTTCGCATTTTCACCAAATCATGAAAAAGCACAAACCAAGACCAAACTGAATCCACTTTGTGATAGAACGGAATCTTTAAAGGAAGAATAAGATCACTGCATAATATATGCACATATTTATTAAATCATACCCACATTGGTGACATCCGAAGCCACAACCGCCGAGCTTGTGTCTTTCTGGAGTTTGGAAGACACATTTCGATATGGCAGGAATTTCAACCCCAATATAGTCAACAAACCAACTGCAACTCCAGCACACATTATCTTCACAGTCGCATCTTTTATCTTGTCTGTAATATCTTGCTGCTCTAATCCATCAGAGCGATTGGCCTCATTTATCCCAACCACGTAAGTATCACCTTGATCAATACGAACACCAGTCTCGTCAGAATCGAAAGGCAGATTATAACTCTTCATCTCACTCTCCTCGTAAATTCGCTCAGTCTTTTCCCCATTCCCAATCGGAAAAACTTTCTGCAGTGCGTGAATTGCACTAACCTTCACACTATCAAGCACAGCAGTGGCCCCCGCCCCAATTTTAGCTATGGCTGCAGCGGCAGCCACGGGCGAACTCCCGACACCTTCCAGTCGTTCTAAATATCTTAAAACCGTCGGATCGTCGTAATAATCTCCGAGCTTGAATCTGACATCTTGAGTCTCTCTAAACCTAGGAAAGACAACCTCGATCAACCATGTCTCCAATAGTTTGCAGAGTCCAGGAAGGAGATCGTCTTCTTTGTCATCCATAGAGTGTTCGATAACAAAGCTAATGATGGATGGATCTCTGAAAGGTGAGTCTTCGGTATCTAAACCCAACCATGTTCGGCATTCATCAACCTCTCCAACTAGAAGTGAACAGAGACCCCTTTCGAGTGCAAAGTCTATTTCACGATTTTCTCGGACACTATAGGTAGATGAAGAGCTCCCAAGAGATGTGATCTTGGTTTGCTGAAGTTGTTGAAAAAGGTTGTCCGCATCTTGAATGAGATGAGGCTTTTTGCTTATGAAGGCTTGAGAAACTAGAGCAAGTGCCACTCCGTAAACTTCAAAACTTTCTGCAGGTATGTTACTTGGGGTAGCGGCAAAGAGATCAACCTTCAATCGACAAAAATCACGGTAAATCCATACATTCCAACACAAGCACGAAATTTGGGTTAAAAAATGAAAAACGGAATTGGTTAATTACATTTACCTGTTCTACAGCTGTCATGCGCAGAAAAGCCTCATTCATGAAATCTTCACGTGTGAATCCTCCAGCAATAGCAGCTGCACCTCCTCCTCCCACGGCCCACAGAATATTCCGCACACCTTGAAGACCCTCTCCTCGTTTTGACTGGTACTCATCACCAAGTGGTAAGGCTAGGAGCTCTAAAACGCAGCGGGGGTTAATTTCTTCAAGGGTCTCGTCAATCTGCGCTTGCAAGTCAGGAGCAAGATTGCTAGCACCTTCTTCCTGCAGGAAAAATGATTTATTATTGGATGTTAATTATGACTTAGAAAGTATACAAGAAAACCGAACAATCACAGAAGGACATCATATGCATCACACAATATATCGAATGATAATGGAATAAATACTGCAACTTGTTCTATGCGTGTGATTCAGAATGCAGAGTAGTAGCCAAAGAGCACAAAACCCAGACATAAGAAAACCATGGTTAGAACTCTAACCTGAAGCAGCTTCAGCGCCATCTCAAGCACTTCACAGCCTTTAATAAAATCCGGGGGTGACAGTGCCATAGCATCCCTAGAAAAATCAACGTAAGCAAGTGCCATCGACAACAAAATGTCTTGCTTGAATGATTTGGGCAGTCTCTCTTTCAACAAGCTCTCTCCAATTCGAAGAACCAACTCCGTCTCACCAGTTTCTTGCAATACACACAATGCTCCAGGGACCTGTAAATCACATCAAGTTAATGCATCGATCCTCGGGTTTTAATGAAGAAATTCTACGGAAAACACTATCTCGGCTTCTTAAGAAAATCCTAACTTCCCTAGGTTACAAATGAAATTCACTATTCATCATTCATTCTGATTGAGTGGCACATAAATACAAGTGAGTGACAAAATCAATTCAAATAATGCAAAGTCTGATAGTGAAAAACAGTATCCACAATAAAATCGATATCACGTAAATTCAATCACAATATCTTCCAAATTCACTTAAAATTGCAACATTTTCTCAGATAACAACAATGTTACAGTGGAGAAAGAACAAGAAAACACCTTATCCCAGGGCACTTGAGTGAGAATAGTATCAAATTCATCTTCGGCGAGGCCTTGATTGTACTCTCTTCGAGAACTAGGATTAGCCAATGTTTCGCAAGCAGCTTGAAGAATCTGCCGCCGGCTAATCAAAACGTCGTCGCTGTACCCGTACTGCGGCTGCTTCGAAACCCTAGCGTCGTAGGCGCGCCGAATGCCGTCGCCGAGGAAATGCGACTCGGCACCGAGGACTCTGTAGAAGTCCAATGGCATGGACACGTGGCGCTCGGGGAACGAAGGGAGGGGAGGCGGCGCCGCCGCCGATGTGAAGTCGGAAGGGTCTGAAGTGGAAGGGAGGAATTGGAAGTCGGCGAGGAGGCGGTCGGCCCATTTGCTGGTGGTGGTGGTGGAGCCGCCGCTGACGGCGGCGTGGGTCCTAATGAACGGCCTTTTGGCCGGTGGAGGTGAGAGCAAGCGAGGGTTATAGATTCCGATGCTCAGCTGCGTCAAAGCTTCCATTTTTGGGGGTCGCAAGTGAGGGGCTTCTTCTTCAGGTTACAATGATGATAATAATAATAATAATAATAATAATAATAATAATAATAATAATAATAATAATAATAATAATAATAATAATAATAATAATAATAATAATAATAATAATAATAATAATAATAATAATAATAATAATAATAATAATAATAATAATAATAATAATAATAATAATAATAATAATAATAATAATAATAATAATAATAATAATAATAATAATAATAATAATAATAATAATAATAATAATAATAATAATAATAATAATAATAATAATAATAATAATAATAATAATAATAATAATAATAATAATAATAATAATAATAATAATAATAATAATAATAATAATAATAATAATAATAATAATAATAATAATAATAATAATAATAATAATAATAATAATAATAATAATAATAATAATAATAATAATAATAATAATAATAATAATAATAATAATAATAATAATAATAATAATAATAATAATAATAATAATAATAATAATAATAA